GAGCTTCGCTGAAAAATAAAAAAGAGCGAGCTGCTCGTGACGAGAGAAATCCGATGATTTGAGGGTCCTGGTCATCGCTGACAAGAAAAAGCCAATTATTTTTATGTCCTGGTCAATGCTGAGATCCTAGGTCACTGGTTGACCTCCCAGATCAGGTTAATAACCCAAAAGCACGGAAAATTGGGTCCTGCTAGAATTTCTACAAGTGAAGTTTGCTGGGACTTGGCTTGCTTCTGACTCCGAATTTGCACTTGTTTTGATCAAAGATGATGTATCAAAGCATTTGGGGTAGGACGGGTCACGCCAGATCACCCATTAGGCGTTCTGCCGGCTTTCCATAGAATGTTAACCAGCACTTACAGCCTTGCAACATACTGCATAGACACTATAACTGATACCTAAGTAAATATGCCTAGTTTTCAAATGCTAAAATGGGTGATAAATTTCAAACCAACACTTCCTAAAAACCACAGTAAAAAGGTGTAAATTTAAGGAAGTTAACCGAGATCATTTCAAGTAAATGACCTTAACCTGAGTTTCACGTGACCTTGGCACCAACAACAATCAATGATACAAACATTAGATAGTATATTTCACATGTTGTCACGTTGCTAATCACGAAACGACTATGGAAACACACAGAAGATGTGCGCTGACTTTCAATTGCTATTCTGGCCTGACATGATCTTGAGAAAAATAATCACAGGTTAAAGATATTTTGGTTCAGGGATTTAAAATTCTCAGACAAGATGCAAAAAATGATAAGGGCTATTTAATTTTCCGGGAAGTTATAAAATTGATTAACGCCAGGGCACCAAAGAATCGTCGCAATCTTTCGCTTTGCCGCGATTTATTGGCGAAAAACAGGGGGCGCGGTCTACTTACCTCTACTTATATGTGTGGTGAGGGCTAATATTCATTTTATCTGTGTTGATGAATGTGCAACAATTTCTACATGAACTGAGACCAGTCCATATGAGTATGTTCTTCTCACGGACAATGACAATATAAAAACAATGCGAATAAAACCAAACGTTTCGGACAACAACGTGCCTTCGTCAGTGGAGAAAAATAAGTGTATAGGTTTAACATCGATGAGAACTAAATGCGGCACCGTCTCGGTCTGGCCAGCCGGGTTGCCGATAAAATACACAAATGTTTATAAGCTTCCATGATGTGCTTAAAAAACTTCTGAAAATTTATCTTAAAAATAAAGATAACTATACTTCACCGATTTTATCGAAAGAAAACATGTATGCCTAATTACTTATTTCTTGCCACTGACGGAGGCACTTTTTGTGCGAAACGTCTGGTTTTATTCGTATTGTTATTTATTGTCATTTCCTGTGAGAAAAAAGGATAACTCTTCAGTTAGTAACCATAACAGCGAAACGGCTTATTGTAACACAATTCACTGTGTATACGAAACCTAGAAGTCCCTAAAAATAATCCTATTTACAACTTTTAAAAGATACAGCTTATACAGCTTGAGCATACAATTTTTTCTGCATTAAGATAATATTCATTTATCTCCACAGAATATGGTAAATTAGTGCTGCTGAAGTTCGCTTTCGAAGAGTCTCCTTCAGGCATTCCACAGCTCTCGTGCCATTTTGGATCACGGAACATGGCTGGGCGCAGGACAGGTCGTCTGCGAGCTTGGACGGACCACGTGACCATCTCCTCCACTCCCCCTCACTCCCGTCCCCTTCCCCAGCACGGCGTCCGATGAGATCTAACCGCGCCCCAGGCAGTCGGCTCGGTCCGACCCTCCCCATGGTCGAGCCACGGCCCGGTGACGCCTGAGTTTGTGCCGGGTGCAAAACTGGAGCAGTAACTAGCGCCGGAACTAGTAGTCAGCACGACCATCGTCAGATGGCAGGAGTAAATGGAATAAGCGGTTCCAGGTTTCAGAAGGAATGGGGCAGGAAAAAGCGCTGAAAACAGTGTTTTGCTGATACAGCCATAAAAAGTTCACTGAATTAGGAGAGCAGCACATCAGTTTAAAGCCCTTCAGATGGTGGTTTTAATAAGCACAAAATCATTTCCCAATTCGCCTCCAACGGTGTCACAGGCCAAGAATACGCTGAAATACTAGTGTGTACAGAAGCAACTGCGGGTCCCTGTACCACAGTTTGGGTACTGCTGCAGGAGCAGAGGTCCATTCCAGATCTCGAGAACAGCTGAATTGAGTGCAATGAAATTTGGTATATGGTTAGGGACCAGTTGGTAGGGTGCCATGCAAAAGTCAGTTCGGACCCATTTTGAACGTGCACAATGCACACATCACGTGCAGGCTGCCGCTTCCAGATCTCGAGAACAGCTAGGCCGATTGCGCTCAAATTTGGCACATCACTAGGGACCAGTTACTAGGGTGCAGTGCACAAGTTAGTTGGAATTACCTCTCACAATTTCGCACGTGCAACTGCAATGTAAGGCCCACCTTCTCGCTCGCTCCATTAATCGCCCCAAAAAGTGCTTTACTGATGGCACTATTACCACTCGTCGATTGTTGTATTTTTCACCTGGGCCCTGTTTCACGGTGGAGCGCTGCAGTGCGCTGCGCGCGTCGGCGCGTTGGGTTTCCATGGCAATATCAACAAACTTCCCTCTGACGCTACGCTATGACGTCATCGCAAAACGCTAGCACCGCAGCGCCAGCACCATCCGCACGCTAGCAATATTCGCATTCAAACTTCTGTTCAATTGATACTAGGTTCTTAAAGGTCTCTGTTCGAAACGCGATCTACCATGAGCTAACGGATCGCACGCAACGTCATTCGAGTGACGTCAGGGGTACGCCCCAGCTCCCAGCGCGCGCAGCGTCGGGCGGTGAAACAGGGCCCTGGATTCTTATGGCAATAAGCATACTCCTTGGAAGAAGGTGACTGTTTCGACAGCTTTCAGGTCCCTTTTATTGCTCCTGCCTCCTAACCCTTTGGCTTGTTTTCACCCAATGTGCAAAGGAACTTCCCCTGATTTTGAGTTGTATCGGTATTGGTGAAATATAATTACATTCGGCACAAAAAAGAAATATTACCTCACATAAAAAAAAAATAGGAAAACCAAAGCAAAACCACTTACCTACATTACATCCAGGAACTTCCACGTTTCCACACCGTCGTCGCTAGAAACGTCAATCGGGCGAAGTTGGTTTCAGTTGTTGACTTTTGCCACGTGATAAATTACTTTTCGTGCATGGTATTTACCCTTTTATGTCCATTTCTTATGATTAAATTAGCATTTCAAGTTATTTAAATGGTGTTTCAAATGAAGCTGAATATATTATAATGAATTTTGAAATGTCAAAAGCATTTGTAACATTTTGTAATAGAGTATCACGTGACTAACAGTAGTACATGAACGCCCCCATACAGTTTGCTTCTAACGGACACCGTTTCACGAACGAGCAGCTTCAGCAGCTCGCTTTTACCGTGCGCCATATATGTAAAAGGTATAAGTAAGAAGCAACAGCTAAATGATTCATTTATTATGCAACACAGAATCTGTGTAAGGGATAATCCGTAATTTAACTACCTACATTATGTTCAGCTGAACCTGGCGGTCTTTCTCTTTCTGCCGCTAAGCTTCCTCATCCAATATCTGGCACCATTACCTCATCTGGACAGTGTGCACTAAAATTTCCCCGGCCCCCAGCCGGCAGCCCAGGCCCTAGCTCATTCAGTCTTTGATCCCCTCCCGCCACTAGTGTCCCTTCCCCTACCCACTGAACAGTGAACACTGGCGTCATCCTTGTCATAGCAATTACTTGCGTTGTTGCAACACTCATGTTCACTTCCGCGGCGCTAACGGCCTTGATTCGTGAACCTAGTAGTGTGAACCTCGGTCATTTGAGCACTCAATAAACTACTCTTCTCCTGGCCCCGTAAACTACCCTTTGCCGGTCCCGTAGCTCAGTTGGTAGAGCGTTGGACTCCGCGTGGTGAGAGCACGCGTTCCCGGTTAAAACAGTCCGGGTTCGAAGCGCGACGGGCGCTTGAATTTATGGGCCTCCTGACAGGTATGGTTGCGGTTGGTGGCAGGCCGTAACCAGGCGAAGTTAGTGAGGGGACCGGCCGTGCGCGGCTATGTGCGCACGTTAAACTTTGGACTCTAAATTCTGCCATAGAACTGGAATTGCGCGATCGGAGGGTAGAGGGCAGGGTCACCGCAACAAGCGTCGCTTAGCGGTGGCTCTGTCCTTGCGAATCCTCCCTATCAAAAGGTTCGGACTAAATTTAGGTCCTATATAAAAAAGGTCCCTCGGCTCAAACATGTCAACACTGCCTCGATTGAATTCTGGCACGCTGCTGCCTATGTAACATGCCGACCAGTCTCCACTGGCACTATCCTTCTAATCACACTGGCGTAACGTGCGATTTGTGACGCAATTTAGTTCATGGCAATCGACTGAACACGGGCGGCGGCGGGTGTCCATCTGCCAAACACGGGCGGAGGGAAACACTTACCGGGGTCACATGAGCAAGTAAATGCGTATCAGGAACGGATTTTCCTATTCGCTCACCATTGTAGTCCGTTTGTAATACGCATTAACTCTGCTCATGTAACCCCGAGCACTGTCCATCTGCTCCCTTGTTCTCTCGCGATCACCCCCGGACACCGACGGTCCGCGGAGCCAGAATGGTCCCCAGTTATTGGACGCGTACTTTTCGCAGCATAGAGAGCGGAATGGATCAAACAGCCGCCATTCCGGAACCATTGACGAAAAAGTTCGCATGCGTGCTTCTCGGCAACCCCCATGACGGGGTGAGCGATTAACACTTTATCTAGGGCGGTCATTTTAGCTTTCAACCATTCAACCATGTGCAATGATCATCCGGAAGAGCGCATGAGTAAAACAAAAAGGGCTGACAATTGTGCGACTAAAAGACTTCCTCGCAATTGGCCTCGATTGGCTGAGCCCTCGTGTGCGCCGGCGTTTTACGCGTAACATACAACCACTTTAGAACTTATCGATCTGAGCGAGGGGAAATCAGAGAAAGCTTTAATGCTGGCTTTATTAGAAAGTTTTACTATCTTCAGTATCACGCTGCACCATCAATGCATCACCATCTTATTGACCAATGCAAACACGAAATATTCTGCAAAACAGCATGGCCAACGGCAGTTCCACAAAACACAGTAGGTATCTCTATTGCTTAAATCTCATCGCCTTGCAAAATCAAGCGCACATCACCACGGAGCTGAAACTACGCAGGTCCCGGCAAAAACGGATACCGAAAACTAAACAATCAAAGCTGGGGCTGGCACGTAAGGCACAACATTCATCCACGACAGACACATATGCTAGGAGCTTCACTGTACGCAATTACCAGGCTTGGCGATCATCAACGCGACAACAGCAGCAGCCTGAGCATACTGCGGCTGGTGTTTGTCTTGGGTGTTTGTTGAAGAACGCAACATCATATACAGATCTCACAAACCCCTTTACTGCTGTTTCCTCCTCTTCGCTTTCGGCCTCGACCTGTTTGCGCCGGGCTTCCGCTTGTGCATGCCCTGACGCAGCTGCCACACTGTCTTTGAGGTCTCAGTTTCCGGCTCAAGCATCCACAGGTGGTCGTGATTGAGGTTAACCGGATCGGACTCGTCGAGATCACTCCGATGATCGTCCATACCAGCGGAGTTCGGTGGTGGCTGCAGGGAAAGCAGGGCTGGCCAGAAAAACATGGACACGAAGCGCGCCAGCAGCAGGTGCCAGGCATCGGCTGCGTCAGCCGCCGGAGGATGGCCGGGAGGCAAGGGAGGCTGCATGCCGCCAGTCACCGGACGAGCCTTGCAGATGTCCATCTTCACCATGTTTGGGACCTGGCGGAGGATGAGACTCGCCAGCTCCTTGTGGTTTTCCGCTTCAGCAGCGGACACAGTCATGTAGAACTGGCGCGGCGGACCGCCGGGTGACTTCTCGGTGATCCGCACCCGTACCATTTGATCAAAGTGGCGCGAAGCATGGTCCGACAGCGGCGGCGCTTCATCCTCCTCGGCACCCTTGTCGGTACCAGACACTGCCGCTCTCGCCCACTGTCCTATTCTCTCATTGAATTCAGCAATCTTGCCCTTGAGGTCTTGGGCTCTCACGCTGCGTGCGATTTGTTCTTCAAGCCGTGGTCGCTGTAGCAAGAGGCTACGGAACGCGGAGCACGAGGCGTAGCTGGCGGGCATGAGTGGCATGCGACGCCAGTTGTACTCACGCTGGAGGACATCCGAGACCGTTTGTCGAAGTGACGACTCAGGTGCATCAGGAAGCGTGGCATCACACCATTGAGACAGGGCTCGGGCATCGAAGTCGGTGATTGAGCTCTCTGCGCACGTCTCCAGGCGATTCAGAGTCGGCGGCGGCAGACACCAGACACGCGCCACGGTTGCGGCTGCTTCTGCATCAGCCGCTGGCAGCTCAGCACGTCGATACGGACTTCCACCTTCAGAAAAGAGTATTTCGCTGGCAGACTCCCACTTCGACTTCTCAGCCTTCCGTCTTGCCTTCATCTCCTTCTTACGTTCCTGATCACGTTTCAAAATAGGGCAGCGGGATGCTCGGCGCAGTGGCTTCACATTGTCGTTGAGAAGCATCATCGCTGCCTGTCGTCGGGCCTCCGTGGAGTCTTTCTCGCCATCGGGCATCAGACCCTCCAACCGACTCTTGAGCTGCGGCCGCAGATTGTCGTAGTAAGTGGAGTAAAATTTATGCACGGAGCCCCCCAGGTTGCCAGTGGCGGGAACACCACCGCGACCACTGAATGCTGCTTCGATGCGGAGAAAACGGTTTCGGCAAATATCGCCACTGCGGCCACCGCCGATTTCAGCAGCTGCCCGCGACCATAATGGTCCGTTCTCGCACACGAAGCGCACCAGTTTCTCGTCCTCCTCCCTTGTCCACTCGCCACGTGACACATTGGGCGCCAGGTAGCGCATGTATCGGTTTTGTAGCTGTTTCGCCGAACGGTCTGGGATGAACTTTCTCAGCCTGGAGAAGTCTCGGATTCCCAATTCCTCGACGGCGGCGATAAGGCGAATGTCTTCCTCCTCGGTGAACCGGCCGCGTACTTGCTCCGAGGATATGTTCAGGTAACGCTGGTGACACTGAACGCTGCTGCGGTCGGGGAAGCGCAAGGCAACTTCGGACCAGTTTATATAGTTGCCGATGCCCACTTCACGCACGACTTGCATAAGGTGCTCTGAATCTTCTTTGGTCCAAAAGGTACGTTTTGGAGCAGACAACACGGCCGCGAAGCGCTGGAACACTTGGAAGGCAGTGCGACCGAGCTTGTTGGCAGCTTCCAACCATCGGTTTCCGGATTGTCGGTTTGAAGAAGCGGCGAGAACTTGCTTATCTTCCTCAGGCGACCACTTTGCATGACTGATAGTAGGTCGCACAAAGTTACACCACTGCAGGCGACATTCTGTCGCTGTGCGCTGGCCACCAGCAGCTGTTAGAGCGATCTTTGGCCAGTCGTACTCATCGTCCATTTCGGTCAGAATGTCGATCACAGACACCTCTTTAGCTTCGGCCAGCTGCTGATTGGCTTCTTCGAGCTTGCTCTTAATGTCTGATAGCGTTGCCTCAACCTCCTTAGACTCGGCGACTCCATTCAGTTGCTGAAGTAGCTCGCGCAGAGCGCGCACCCGATGCTGCACAGCCCGCAAGTAGCGTTGCGATGCCTCCGCCAGAACCACCTCGAAAAGGCTCTCGCGCTCAGACTGCAGCCATGGCCGTGGCCAGCGTCTATCATCGTACTCATCTTTCGTTACTTTGGTTTTGGTGTCGGCGTTGGCGAGGGGACCAAAACCATCCTTGTCGACGAAATGATCAACAAACATCTGCCAATTCCATTTTGGAACGCGGCTTTTTGGACCCTGCGAAGAGTTTCGAAGGTCTTGGTCGGAGTTTAAAAGCGCAGTAATCTCGGCCTGCTTTGCGCGGTTGCGGCGAAGAAGATGCTCCAAGTCCGTCAAGTTCTCGTCGACGACCTCCTGATAGGCAGCATTCAGCGCCAGACAATTTTCCAGGTTGACAGGGATGTCCTGGCCAATGAAAGTATCGTCCAAGAAGTCATCCTGTGACAGCACTTCGTCACCGAGCACAGACGATACTTGCACCCCAGAGATGGAGGCTATAGATGACGGGCCTCCGCTGCTCTTGCTGCGTATTGTCGACGGGGCGCATCTAGGATCAGATGACTCCGTCGGTTGGCTGACGACACACTCGAAGGGCATCGGTGGCGCCACCGGAGTTGCCAGCACCCTGGACAACTTGTTGATGTCGCCCTGCAGCGCCGATGATTCGGCTGATGTTACGGCACAGGATCTTGTTCGCAGCTGGGTTAGAGCGTCCGCGTCGCCGTCGACACCCCCGAATTCGGCTCGAGCCGTGGTGCTTGACTCGGATGATTTACTACACAGGTCAGCTGACTGAAGAGCCTCGAACCCGTTCCTGTCCGACACTTCATGAACTTTCCAGACAAGGGCACTCTCAACAGAATTATTGACTGCACTCTTAGCCTCTGCACATTTTTTCTCGGCCATCACAGCATCTGGAGGATCAAAGTCCGGACAACACGTTTCCTGCAGTTGTTCGAAGTCCTGCATCACATCGTCAGAGTGGGGAGCCAGCAAAAGCGACGACATTGTCTCGGAATTCCTCACTTGCGATGATGATACCAAGGCATTCTTGACCTGTGTCATTGCAAATGATGCCGGCGGAAGTGAATGAGACGTTTCTGCAGAGGACACAATATCAGCATGGGTCGCCTGAAGTATCTGAGGTTCTGGAACACAGCCCTCTTCACCAATTGATTCACCGCCCGAAAAATGGAGAGAAAACGTACCCTGTGCACTCTCGACTTCTGTGAAGGCTGTGCCATCACATGCTGGATCTTGTGGCATGCCAGGTTGTGAGGCCTGGCCACATCCTTGTTTTCCAGGTGACGCCGGTGCGTAGGCGGGAGCCTCACCGGATGGATCACCGAGTGCTCGACAGTTTGATTTGACTGAGTAGTTGTCATCATTAACAAGAAACTCTTCTTCATCCGGTCCATCTAGGACCCGAGACAGCTTGTCTATGTCGTCTAACAGACCTGATGCATCCATACTTCAGAATTCTATGAATCCTCAGCCATCTGAGAACACAGACGGGAAAGGTAGGTCAAATTTAAGACTTTAAAGGAAATAGATCACTTTTAACATGGGGTTTTGAACTGGAATAGCAGTTTTGTAGTTTGAGCTGAGACTAGCACAAATCAGAAGCTTTTATGGCCCAACGATCACTCTAAGCAAAGATATTCAATTTCCCGTTCCAAAAACAGTGTCTTAGGCAGGAATTCGTGTCTTGCGTATATTTGCATCCAGTATGAAAAGAGCATGGGTCCTAAAAATTCTTCAGAAACTAGAGAAATTATCTACGAGAATTCTAGAGGAATTCTCGTACTGACCAATAAGGACATTCAGGGAAACATTATCGCCCTTGCCAGTAAAACTAGTAAAAGGGCTAACTTTGCATGGTTCTTTAATGCATTATTTCACGCACTGGCGGATCCAGGGTTTCAGCGCGGGGGGGGGGGCATACCAGGTCACGGAGCCAAACCCAGGGTAGGTACCCCAAATCCTGTTTTCTCATCGGATTTAGGCCACTTATTTTTCGTCATAGCCCTGATACGATAGTTAAAACAAATGGTAGGCCACCTGGGCCCTGTTTCACCGGTGATAGCAACACGCTGCTATTACACGTGTCAAATTGCACGTTACACGTGTCAAACCTGAGAAGGTAAAACTGGGTATCATTAGATTCGTCTCTTCCAAAAAAAAATATTTTTGGTCTTTACCGCGAAGCTCTATCTCCAACAGGAACGAAATAGCGCGGGGGGTGGCAACCCCCCCCCCCCATGTGCGTTCTAGGATGGGAAAATGGCATGTGCGGGCGAGGGTTAAAGTTTCGCCCCGATGGACCACTCTTTACAGTCTTTACCCATGTTTTTTTGCGGAAAACGATGGGTGGATCTATCCGACCCCCTAATAAGTGCGAGAGTTAATCTCTCCCAAACACCGGAAACAAACAGCTTCTCTCATCCGATAGCTCTGCGATATTCTTATTTGACCGAAACAAAGTTTCCTCTAAAACAATGAACACGTTTACCCGAAATAATAATCATACCTCTCCGTGTTGAGCGTTTGATTGACTGAGGGGACGACCCACCGAAACGCTTCCTTCTCAAACAGATGGACTTTGTCCCTTTGGGGTGTCAGTCGGTGTTCGATTATAAGTTCGATGTCTGACCTCCTCGTCTTAGGCGAATCTGAAATGTTCTCAATAGACCGAAAGAACTCAACCCAAGATACTCTCAGACGCCGACGGAGCCCTCAAGAGTCCACGGTGTGGGACCTAATCGGAGTTGCGGATGGGTGGCCGTCTACTGATGTGTATGGTCCTCAGACGCCGGTAGGGCCCTCAGAATCACTGGTGTATTTGTAGAGCCGACCCAGGGCCGGACGACATGGACTGACGGACGAACGGACGGATGGAGAAACGGGCAGACGGATGGACGGACTGAGAGACGGAAGGGCGGACGGACGGACGGAGAGACGGATAAAGAGATGGACAAACGGACGGGAGAGAGAGAGAGAGAGAGAGAGAGAGAGAGAGAGAGAGAGAGAGAGAGAGAGAGAGAGAGAGAGAGAGAGAGAGAGAGAGAGAGAGAGAGAGAAAGAAAGAGAGAGAGAGAGAGAGAGAGAGAGAGAGAGAGAGAGAGAGAGAGAGAGAGAAGGGTGGTGAGAGAAAGGAGGATAAGTATGAAGGTATGAAGGAAAAGACTAAGAGATATGGATATTACTTGTCAGAGACTTCAGGGAGGACGGCAAGGAGACTGATACCTACAGAGATTAACCCTCGCCCGCACATGGGGGGAGTGGTTGCCACCCCCCCCCCCCCAGGTAGTCTTTCTGCTCTGCACTCAACATTTTTAGAGCTAGAAGGCTGATTTTTCGTATAGCTGCTCCTCTATCCTTTCTTGATGTCCACTGAAAATTTCAAGTTTCTGTAGTTTTTGGTTTCGGAGATATGACCTTGTTTTTCAGGTCATGTCATGACCCAAATGGCCAATTCTCAACATCTTGCGTTGGCTATGGGCCTTGTGAGCTTTTGACACCTTGATTTCGGCCTTTTTTGCCAGTCTTACCTCCAACCTATCATGGAACATGTTGTTCGACGATGTACAGATGTCAAGGTCAAGGTCAAGGTCAACCTAGGTCATCTAAGATAATTGCGTTTGAGGCAAGCGGAATTTACTTTTTGTGAAGTTTTTTGACTGCATTTTTGGTAAAAGCTTCTCAGATCATGATTTCATGTAATATGGACACATAAACAATCGGTGCACACATCAGTATACACACAGACACACACAGACATACAAACACATATAATTGACCTTGACCTAACTTGACCTGAAATGACCTCAGCAGCAAAAACCTGGTCGGGTAGAGTGACAAAGAGGTTCTAGCTGGCTTGGCACCAGAAAACGGCATCGTCATCGGTATAGGATAAGCAGCGCACTTGATATCCAACGGTGACCCAAAACAGCAACATTTTTTAGTTTGACCTGACCTGGAAGGTCAATGACTGACCTGAGAAGGTAAAACTGGGTATCATTGGATTCGTCTCTTCCCAAAGAATCTTTTTGGTCTTTACCGCTAAGCTCTATCTCCAACAGGAACGAAATGGCGCGGGGGGTGGCAACCACCCCCCCCCCCCCATGTGCGTTCTAGGATGGGAAAATGGCATGTGCGGGCGAGGGTTAACAGTAGCGGCGGAACACCTTAAATTAAGGGGAAGGGGGCACTGCCGACTTTTAGTCCCATTCTTTCCATGCAACGCCCATAGGGCTTATGTTAAAATGCCAAAATCGAATGGGGGACGGTGCCCCGGTGCCCTCCCCGTTCCCCGCCAATGGAGAGGAAAAATAAGTGAGCAAGGGATTTGAGAGATAGGTAAAGAGACAGGGGAGAAATGAGATTTGATTGCTCCGCTCCTAATAACACTTCCCAAAATATAAAATAATTGGCCGTAATTATCGAACAAGAATCGGAAATTGTCAATTGAACGTCTGATTTGCTATTGAACGTCTGATTACATCAATCCGCCCTATACCATGTTTGACATGTTTGCACCAAAGCCTACTTGCAGGCTATAGCCTATGCATCGAGCCAGTGGTATATACTATACATAGCTCCCGGTGGTATACCTGCATATAGCCGAGACCTCCGGCCGTATTTTCCCACGATCAGCCGGATTGCAAAGTCGTGTATTTTTCGTCCGTGGCAGGCGGCCGGCGCAATCTCCGGGAAAGAAACGCTCCAGTAACAAAAGCACGAGCTGGGCCTCGTTTCATAAAAGGAATTACTTACGGCGTTCCGTCAATTATGCCAGATTTGGCGTATTTGATGCCAATTCGGTTTCATAAAGCCGGAGACCGGAGTAATTCACGCCATCGAAATTACGGAGCTTCATTTACGGCAAATGCTCGATTCCGGACCAATTGATGCCATTTGGGTTTCATAAAACGACGTAATTAACGCCAAATAGTTTATCAAGTTCTTGATATCAGTGGTGTAAACTACGCACGAAAATGTTGCGTGAATTTGAATTAATGTGAAGATTCGAAGCTAATGTTTGATATATTTTTTAATGTTGAGCCCGGTGAGGAAGAAAGAACAACCAAAATGAGACAAAGAAACTGCAAATCTTCTGTACCAGTCGCTTTTTGTGGCCACTATCGGAATTTTGTTTATTCGCCGCGCCGCGCCACTTACGTAGTTAGGCACTTCTGCTTGGCTGGCTTTCTGCTGTTTTCAATATATTGATTTAATAAAGGATGGTCATCAATATCAATTTAGTTTTTTCATAAATAATTTTTTAAGATTTAAATTCAACATAATTGTTTTATAATTTCTCGTAAAAAATCAGTGTTGACATGAAATTGTAATTTGTAGGACGCTTGATAAATTACGGTAACTACGCAAATGTGCTTAGTTACGGAGGTGTAAACAATTCCAGTTGTGGCTTTGTGAAACGGCTTCATTTGCGCTCCGTAGTTTGAAAGGGTGTGAATTACGGAAAGGTGTAAGTTACGGCAGAGCTTTATGAAACGAGGCCCAGATCGCCCAAATACCGGTGGCCGCGAGAATTTCTCTAGTTTCTGAAGAATTTTCGGGACCCATGCTCTCTTGCACATTTACGTCTGGACAACGAGTTGCGTTGGAGAGGCCGGAAATAGTGGCGATTTTTGGACCGCAAGAATGGACCGTCATTGGAATGATTCTTTTTCAAATCGAGCACTGTTTTTAGCCGGAATTTAAAAGTTCCTACAAAATATTTTTGTTATTACATTTTGGCCAAGAATGAATGCCATCAGGGAAGTTTTTACATCCATTGCATTTTGTCCAGAAACATATAGTGCTGTTATATTGCAGTTTTTTGCGCTTTTGTTACAAAATATGAAGCGAACATGCAAAAAGTTTCCAAAATAACGTTGATGTATATCGCAAAATATCATATTGACCTTAAGTTCATCCGTTGCATGATTGAGTAGACAGACATTTCAAGTTTATCTTGGATCAGAGGTGTCAAAGTTATTCATCGCTGTCAGAGGTTAATTTGAGCCGAGGGGAAGCTACGATAATTGCTCTTGTCCATCCACTAAGAAGTTATTAAATATTTTGTTTTGTGTATTCCAAGAAGAGAGGGAACTATTTTCTTTGTGCCTTTCATGTCAGAATTGAAGATCGATCATTAAATTTTCAAGGCAGTTAATCAACCAAACCAAGCATTTAGTTTTTCTCGTATATAAGCAGTGGCTAAGAAGAAAAGGTTGATAAATACTGAAGTTCAGTCATCCTACTTCAACTTGGCAGCAAGATCCCCAAGGACAGAGGACATAGAGTACACCTATCCTGTAAATCAAAGCATTTTGGTGCCTGCAAAGGCTTGCGTTATTTGTTGTGTGCTCGGAGTGAGGCTATGCGCGTGTTTGTTGTGTTTATGTGGAGATTGAATATAACTGTGACCCTGTGCTTGTTTGTGTATTTACTACAGTCAAACAGCACATTCACATAAAATACTCACCTAGCT